CTCAACACTCAGATGTTGCTCCATGCAGAATTTTTTTTTTTTTTTGAGAGGGTTCCGCTATAGGGAACGTGCGCTCGCCAGAAAGACAAAGACAGAGAGACAGAAAGCGAGAAATCACCCCCCAGGGGGATTGGCCATGCCACAATCCCTTCTCCTCCATTCTCCTCTTGGGATCTTGGGCATGCACACACACGCACCTGATGTGAGTTTAAGCTACCGGGTCTGGGATTCAAACTGCAGTCGATTACATGGGAGTCCAGCGACATAGCCATTACGCCAAATGCTGGTCCCTGCTCCATGCAGAATCACTACAGCTTATCAGAATCAAAACAACAGACAGAAGGGCCACTCAGACCTGGAGTTAGGAATGTCAGAACCACAAGCTAGAAATGGTACCAATGAAGGGAAAAGGACTCTGAGCCAAGCAGAAGCAGCACCAAACAAGATGGTGGGCAAAGTTTGTGCAGATGAGTGACCCAGGGAGAAGGCATAATGGTTTAGGATGGCAGAGCTCCAGACAGTAATTGACTGAGAGGTGTAAGATACTCCAGAGTATCTGACAGTTTCCTAAAAGCACAGAAATGACTGCTATAAACTTGCTAGTCTCTACAATAATTTGTGTTACTTTATCCTTCCCTAGTCACTACTCCATTTACATATCACTTTAGGTAATTCAGAAACTCTGACAAGCAAGCAGAAACATCAATTTTATTCTCAATAGCCCTAATTCCATTTTCCCTCATAAAAATAAACATACAACATGTTGTTTGTTTTTATACATCATCCTCTCACAAATTTTTGTTTAAGAAAAATGTCTCTTGAATATAAACTATCTTGGACACTACTTATTATTTAAAACTGACTAAAATAAATATTTAAAAGGTACATTTATTAAGTATTTGTTTAGCTGTATTACTTGCTGTTTATTTTAGCTAGATCTTGTTCTCATGGTTCCAAGAGTTCTTCAAATATTAATAACAGCATTTTTTTCGTGTGTATGTGTACATATTGGGTAGTTTGAAGAAAAGAAAAAAGTCATTTTTTAAAAAATTTGACAAAGGATACATGCACTCATTGGGGTGTGGGGCACTGAGACAGTAAGAAAACACTCTCCATGGCATGGTCACACTACAATCTCTTCCCCTCCACTTCTCGCTTCTTTTGGGATTTTGCACATGTATGTACACTCGCTGAGCATGTTTCTCAAGCCACCAGGTCCAGGACTTGAACCACACAGTCAGTCATGTGAGATCTAGCTGCCTTAACCACCAGGCCAGAGGTCCCCAAATTCCTATTTAAAATGATTCAGTATCTTGATCAGCTTGGGCTGCTATAACAGAATGCTATGGTCTGTGTGGTTTAAAGAGCAGACATTTATTTCTCACCAATCTGGAGGCTGAAAGTCTAAGATCAAATTACCAGCAGATTCAGTGTCTGGTGAGGGCTCTCTTCCTGGTTTACAAACAGCCATTTTCTCACTGTATCCTCACACTGTGGAGAGGAAGAAATCACTTTTCTCATGTCTCTTCTTCCAAGGGCACTAATCCCATTCATGAGGGCTCTGCCCTATGACCTAATCACTTCCTAAAGATCCTACCTCCCAAGACCACCACATTAGCCATTTAAGCTTCAATATGTGAATTTTAGGAAGATTTAAACATTCAGTTCACAAAGTTCATTCAGTTCAGCCAAAAGGTAAAGTTAAAGGAATGAATCCTATCCCTGATTCACCTAGAAGGGTACATGATCCAATGAAAGATTTAATGTTATTCTGGTGGGAACAAAGAGGCACTGGCCCCCATGCTCAGTCCCTGGTCTTCACACAGCCGCTGGCTCTGGGAGAGCGTTGTGGCAGTTCACCCTCCCAAACACCTGCTCCTTCCAGCCTGAAGCAGAAAAGCATCAAAAAGTCAAATGGAAGAAGATAAAGCACTCGGCGTGAGTGGGTAGAGAATGATCCGTCCATTTTATTTTGAGGAGTATGAAACTTTAAATTAGAAGACTCTTAAAGCTGACTCTTTCCGAGGCCTCTCCCCTTCAGATGAGGGAGGGGATTAAAACTCAGAGGTACTTGACTTGCTCAAGGTCCCAGCTAGCAAACTGTTGTGACTTAATGGACATTCGTTATGAGAACCACAAAATTTATTTCCTCTAGCTGCCATGTATGTCTCAATCTCATTCAGTGACTTAAGAACCTCTCTTTTATTGATAAATGCTCAAGGAAAATAAATAACTGCCTAGATGGTGACATAGTGTCAAAGCTGACAAAATGAATTCTGGAGCTTCAGCCTAGCCCTGCTCTAAGTCTGTCACATAACTTGGGAAAAGTCACTACGCCTCAGTTTCCCCATTTAGAAGAGAATTCCATCTTTCCTCTGAATTTACTGAAGAGCTTGCTACTCACAATACCATGGTCAATAGAAAATGCTACACTTTTCAATCAAATGACAAGGTCCTTAATATAACAGCGATATGGGGTTTGGGGGCTCACAGGTACTAATCTTAAGGTAAAACAGAAAACTTAATGATAATACCTTTTGCAAAAAGAGAGAGAGAGAGAGATCTACAATTGAAAAAAGACAAAGAAAAGTAAAAATGTCTGAAGTGAAAATGTCATTTTTTAAAATAAATGTTCAACTGTGACATTTTTTAAAATGTACTTATATCCAAGTAAAAGGTTAGCTATGGGTATTTTGTTGGAATATTTTCCTCTGCTCTTAGATAAGGTAGTAACAGAAGCAGAAGTCACAGCCTTGCCCAAGACTCTCTTCCTTTTCACAGTGTTGAGGTCTACACCTAGACAACAGATCGTTACCCCACGTGCAACACAATTCACGGAGTCTTTTGGCTTACAGGCTGTCTGCCCAACTGGGACTTATATAACAGGAAAATCTTGGGAGCCTGACCAAACACTGTCTAGCCCTAGGTTATATTCCTGCCCTTTCTCTGAGCTCTAAAATACAGAAACATCTGTCAGCAGTGTAGACTGGTATTTTTTGCACCTCTGGTACAAAAACAGGTAGTTAGGTTAGGGAAGATGGGAGTCAAATAAACAGCACAGCTGATAGGGCATAGTCTAGGGGTTCACAAGGTAGAGTGTGGCAGAGAATGAGTGAGGCTTGAGAGTGACCCAGCACGAACTCAGTCCTGAAGCTGCTGGTCTGAGAGAAACATGTGGATATCATTCTGCTGCTCAACGTTTCCCATGGGAAGATAAATATGATAAACCATTTTCTTAACTCGGATTTCTCTCCAAGTGCTAAGCATGCCCTCACATTCCAGCAGAGGCTGTCATGGCATTGTGCCCACTAGAAGGAGCCTTTAACTTTGGCCCACAAAACAATATTCTGTTTCTCCAACTACAGTCTTCCTTTCTCTGCTATTTGGCTCAAGTGTCCCTGCATCCATCTGCTTCCGGACTGCTTCACTCTGTGGACCTGAGAAGACTGAGAGGAGTAAAAAAGCAGGAACTACTGAGAAGGGTAGGAAGAGAGGCTTTGGGCCCAAGAGCAGCCTCATTTCACTTTGATACTATGACCAAGATTTCAAGTGTTCAGACTGAGAAGGGAGACTTTTTGAAGCTCCTCTAAATTTTAGCCTTTTAGGTTTGTCCAAGTTCTAGGACCAGTCTCCTGTTCACACTGATTTCCTGGCTTTTGCCTATCTGAGATGTGGGAAATGTGGGAACTCTCTCTCCCTCTCTCTCTTTCTTTTTAAAAATGTGCTAGCTTGACTGAGAAATTCAGTAGAAATACGGTGCGCGTGTGCATGCATGTCTGGCTCCTTCCCCAACCAGCAAGAAGACACAAATAAAGGGTAGCTACCAGCCCAGCACACAGCTGGGAGACATAGCCCCTCCTTCGGAGTCATCGCCTTGCCATGGGCAGCAGGCAGGCTGCTCTGGCTGGCTTCTTGCTAGAGAGTACATGCACTCCCCAGAGGAGAGAAATAGAGAAAGAGAGAGGGAAAATGAGAACGCACTCTCCCCCTTGGGGAATGACCATGCTGCGATCCCTTCTCCTCTGTCTCCTTTTAGGATTTTGGGCACACACACACACACACACACACACACACAGGCCTCCAGCATGTTTCTCAAGCCTCTGAGTGTGAGATTTGAAGGGCACAGTTGGCCATGTGGGATCCAGTTGCCTTCACCACCATGACACCAGCTGGCCTGGGAATTCATGTGCATTTTTCCTGCTTAGGATGTGCAGGTGGGTTCTGACTACAGAATCCCTCACTGTGCTGGCTTCATCTTCCATCCCAGCACTGTGCACGTGCAACTGATCACTGCTTAAAGAACCACAAGCAAGACAGGTTTGGGGCTTCTGAGAAAAGCCGAAGGGTTCCAGGTAAAAGGTCCATCACTCTACTGGTCGACTCTCCACCGCCAAGACAGGCCAGTAAAAAACATCACATGGGGCTGCCCTGTTTATTCAAACACTTAGCTTATTGGAATAAATTAGAGGTTGTTCATTAGCAAAGTCAAGTGGTTTACAAGCCCATCAGAAAGTGATAAGGATCTGGGATGTAGATTTTTCTCTCTTCCATTATTTTTAAAATGAAAACTAATATTTTAAGGACAAGGTACCAGGCGATCATTTACAATGATTCAATCTATGTGCTAGCTGTATGACTGGTGGCCTGGGCTTGATGAGATGTTCTCTCGAGGCAGAGGTCGACTGCACATTTGGAGAAGCAGCTGTACTAAAAGGAGAGATTCCTAAGCACTAGAATAAGGCAGAGAAATCAGCGTCCAAACTCAGCCACTTCCCACAGAGAAAAACCAAATGTGATGGGACCAGCAGATGGAGTAATAGTTACGTTGCTGGACTTCTGTGTGGTTGCCATGGTTTAAGTCCCACACCCAGCAGTTTAAAATTCACGCCAGGCATGTGCGTGCCCAGAATCCTGAGAGGAGAATGGAGGAGAAGAGATTGCAGCATAGCTATCTCCCCTAGGGGTGATTTCTCTAGCTTTCTGTCTCTCTGGAGAGCACACGTGCCCTGTAGCAAAAAATCTCTCTCAAAAAAAAAAAAAAAATCAACGAATGCGGCAACATTCCTTCATCACAGGTAGAGCCTTTCTCACCTTCACTGGGACCTTTTTCCCCTTGTGGCTGCCATATATCCCAACTATAGATTTGAGGGAGGGTGAAGCAGGAAGAAGATGTAGAAGAGAGTAACATTTGCACTTACTCTTCCGGCTGGGATTTATACAATAGGAAGATCCCTTGGAGCCTGACCAGATACTGTCTAGCCCTGGTTTGTGTTCCTTTGCTCAAGCAGACATTAGACCTACACTCCACCAGGGAAGGTTTATAGAGTATAGCTAATGACCAAGAAATGAGGCATGTACAAGCAACAAGAGTTGTCCCATGGTGTTCCCCGAGTCACATCCCTGTCATGCACGCTCATCATTACAGCAGCCAGTTTCAGAGTCCCCTGGATAGTCCCAGGCCAAAGGTGGTCTCTGTGTCAAATGGATGAGAAGCCAGGTAATCTTTATACTCCCCATCAATCAGTTTGGCAGCATTGTTCCTGGCAAACCAGCAGTCTATCTGCTCTTCCCCATTGTAGATCTTCCTTTGTTTCCAGACCACTGGGACTTGGTGGCCTTTCACCTTCAGGATAGTCTCAGATCTCTCTCCTGCTGGAGGGAATAGAGGAATGGTAAGATTCTGGCTGAGCCCTGAAGGCTTCTCTGTGAGTTTGGCATCCTGGTTCAGGAACTGACCTGGGAGGACAAAAGAAAAAAACATAAGAGTGTTAAGTCAAACGCAAATCCATGATGTTGAAATCGAACTTTAATGACATCAGTACAAGAGGGTTTTTTTTTTCTTTAAGAATTATTTTATATAACTTTATTTATTTATTTATTTTAATTTGACCAGAGAGGGACAGAGTGAGAAGAAAAGTGAGAAAGCAAGCTGTCAGGTCTGGGACTCAAACTGCAGTCAGCCATGTGAGAGTCCAGATCCCTTAACCACCACACCACCTGCCAGACCATGCATGAGGGTTTTTAATTGCCCACACACAGTCCTAGGTCAGACTCTTGTAGAAGAGTCTGAGAGACTCGTTTTCCAGCCTCAGTGCTAGAACATATTCTGGAGAGCACTGAGAGGAGGGGGCTGAGGTTGACACCTAGTGGCCTGCACTTCTGGAAGCTGCCCAGTTGCTCACACCGGCAAGTTGCCTCATCAACAAATGGAGTCAATTTTCTGCTGAGCTGGGAGGACAGACAAGGCAGATAAATAGGAAGGCAAAGTCAGGTCTTCCCTCTCTCTCCTTTGTCTTAAGTCCCTTATCCCCCCCACCGTCCTATAGACTTGGTGAGGATGTTCCAGGGTGGGGTGTGAAAAGTAGTTGGTTCGGTTCAGTCCAGACACTCATCCTTAGAACTCTCCAGGTCAAGTGAGGGCATTGCTCGGGCTAAAAGAGCACAGATCTACCTCCGTGAGCGGGAGCTCATGCTTGGCAGCCAACACCATGAAATATGTCTGACTCAAGTGCCAGGAAATCCTGCTTTCTAAACAGAGCCTTGGTGATGGCTCACTCTGTATTTTTGGGCAAGGGGCCCACACGAACATTGCACGTTGAGGAAAGTCAGCCAGAGCAGTCTGCCTGCTGCCCATGGCAAGGGAATGGCTCCGAGGGAAGGGCTGTGTCTCTCAAGCTGTGCTGGCCTGTCAGCTGCCCTTTATTTGTGTCTTCTTGCTGAAGGGGAAGGAGGCAGGCATGCATGTGCCTGCACGCGCACACGCACGCGCACACACACACACACACACACACACACACACACACAGCATATTCCTATTGAATTTCTCAATCAAGCTAAAGGTATTAGCTATATTAGCTTTACCCCAGAATATTTAATCCTATTCTCTAAACCCAGTGGGAAGAAGAGAGCAGCAGCCTACCTAACAGTCCGTGGCAATTGCTGGAGAGGCCTTTGCTATTGGAGATGTAGAAGCCCAGGTGGTTCCGCTGGAAAGGGGCTGGATTTTTGTAGAGGTGAATGAGGATGACAAAGGTGATGGTGCCCTGGATGGTAACGGTGACATTGGCATTGGCAGATACAGACACCTCCAGCCCCCGACTCCCCACCACCACGCTCCGGTTGCAGGGGAGGACCAGCCTGTCTCTACTGTCCAGGATGACTCTGTTTGGCGTAATCTCAAGATAAGATCTCTCTGGCTTGTTGACAAGGATAGTGATGGTGCCGAAGTAAGTGCGCTGTTTCTTGTGACCGTTTGGTGGAGCAGGGGCTCCAATTAACTCTCCATTCACTGTCACACCTCAAAAGCCAAGAGGAAGAGAACAATGGTTAGTAAAACTATGCCCACTTTAAAGACGTTTAACTGTAAGTTCCTTCCGCCTCCTTTCTTACTTGTGTACCTCTGGCGCCTAGAAACTGCCTGATTCACATAGAGGCCACTTGGTGCTTACGGAATGAATGAATGAGTGAATACATGAAGTTAGGAGTGACCTTTTTTTCCCACATGTGACTAGTATCTTTAGGATAGAAGGAGGAAGATATAGGTCTGAGTCAAGGTATCAGAGAGGACAGTTAACAGTTTGTTTTCTTTCCAGGGTCTGTTTGAAAAGTCTTGTGTAGCCCTGAGGTACGTTTTGCACTTACCAGTTGCTACTGATCCTAATCTGGGGACTGTGAGATGCCCTCAAGTAGTGTGGTAGAACGCAAAGTTAGAACTGTTTTCTGTCCCCAAACTCAAGTTCTTCAACTTACTTATTCAATGTTCATCTTCTGACAAGTTACTTAAAAACAAAAACCAAAAACCCTAAGCCTCAATTTCCACATCTGGAAAATGGGGATGGGGTTATAAAACCTCCCAAAATTGTTATGAGGCTCCCAGGAGGGAGCAAACATGGAAGCAATAAACGGTCCTCAATATAATCCCGTTCTTTTTCCCCTTCATCATTATGAGCACAATTGGAGCTATCCTGGACTTGAGTAAAGTCCATGCGTCTAGGGCTCTGGTCTGTCAGGCTGAATAGCAAACAAAGGGCGATTGTACATGATATGTTTGGGACTGGATTAGGTGATGCATGTTAAATGTGTTTTCCTCTCAGGCAAAAAGGCAATACCCAATAGTAAAAGACTGCTATATAATTAACCCTGTTTACTCTGCTTTGGGGATAAAGCCCAATAAATCTTGACTAGTAATTTCTTTTTTTTTTTAAGAATCATTTTATTTAACTTTATTTATTAATTTTCAATTTGACCAGAGAAGGACAGAGAGAAAGAGACAAAGAGAGAAAGAGAGAGAGAGAGAAAGTGAGAAAGTCAGCTGCCAGGTCCAGGACTTGAACCTTGGTTGGCCATGTGGGAGTCCAGCACCCTTAACCACCACGCCACCTGCCAGCCCCAACTAGTAACTTCTTATTCATTCAAGGAGAAAAGTGCCTTCCCTGGTGCAGGGCTAGGGGGAGAAGAGAAAGTCCAGCCTGAGCAGAGTCTGTGCTCTTCAGTCCCCAGACTCTAAGCAGCTCCAGGCTGAGTTCCCATCGTGTACACCTTGCGGAATACAGAAACCGTGGGAACAGCTTCTACGCTGGGCACTTCCAGGGAGGCATACAGTTAGGCCCTTGTCTTGAGTCTGACCCCTTTAAAATGAGACACTAGAGATTTAGCTCTGAGAAAAAAAAAAGAAAAAAAGAAAGAGAAAAAATCCTACAAGAAAACAATATGATGAAGGAGCCCTAGGGTCAAATTTTACATAATTACGTTTTCTGTGTCACCCAGCTGGGGGTTGTTCTGCATTTGAACCAAAGACACTCATTTTCTCAGCCCTGAGACATGCCACTCCAATGCTGAACTGTGTGGCTGGCCACATGGCCAACCTCAAGTACTGTTACCTGCATTTAACTCAGAAAGCTTTCTCTGTGCTGATCCCTTTCATCCAGTCCTTGTACAGACAGGGACCAGAGCCTTCGATGTTTGTGTTCAGGCACACAGAGCAATGTCGTTAGCACCCGGGCTTTATTTCGGAGTCAAACAAATGAGAAAGATGAATTTAGAACTCCGGCCTCCCCACCATCATGGTTTTAAATGGGAAGGCACAATGACAATATATCAATTCTATAGCACTCGAACATTTACAGAGCAGCTTCGTGTTCTTTTCTTTTTAATTCACCAGAGGGGGCATGCACTTCCGGAGAATAGGGAGAAAGAGAGTGAGAAAGTGTCCCCATGGGGAATGGTCATGCCACAATCCCTTCTCTTACATCTCCCCCTCCTTTTAGGATTCTGGGCATTCACGCACACTTGCCTGCTGTGGTTTTGGTTTTTGTCTTTTTTTTTTTTTTTTTTAAAGAATATCACTATTTATTTTCCTACAGGTACACTTTCTGTATCTTCAAGGTTTTCTGCTCAAAATGAAAAGAACAAAACAATCTCAAAGTTCAGAACTGGACCACCCGGTCCTTTCTCTTCTTATCTCCCCCCCAGTTCAAAATGATTGCATGTTTTAATGGCCAGCATCCTCCTGGGTTTGCAGTTAGGTTCAATACACTCAAATTTTAGGACAATTTTCTTTGTGGTTTTAGGACAATTTTCTTTGTGGTTTTAGCCTTCTTCCAGAAAATTGGCTTGTCTACCCACCATAGCCACTCTGCTTCCAGGCATAGCACTCTGGGCATACGGGGGAATCCTTGCCCTTCTTATACTGGGTCACTTTGTGAGGCTAAAGCTTGCCACGCTTCTTTTGTTTTGGAAATCCTTGTGGTATAGGGCATGTGCGCTCACCAGAAAGACAGAGACAGACAGAAAGCGAGAAATCACCCCCCTAGGGGGGATGGCCATGCCACACACATCACAATCCCTTCTCCTCCATTCTCCTCTCAGGACCTTGGGCACACAAGCACACGCCCCCAGTGTGAGTCTAAGCCATGGGGTCCGGGACTCGAACTGAGGTTGACTCTAGTGACATAGCCATTACGCCAACTCCTGGTCCCATGCTTGCCACACTTCTTACAGAAAGTGTTTTGTTTATTTATTTATTTTTGTTATTATTATTATTTTTAATTTGACCAGAGAGAGAAAGGGAAAGTGAGAAAGCAAGCTGCCAGGTCCAGAACTTGAACCGTAGTTGGTCATGTGGGAAGTCAAGCGCTTTAACCACCACTCCACCTGCTAACCCCCAGAAAGTGTTCTTTAATCTGCCAGATCTTGGACTCAAAATGTGTGGTTGACCATGTGGTATCGGGCTGCCTTAATCTCCATGCCACTGACTGGTTCACATCTATTATTTCATTCAACCCACATTATCACAGCCCCAAGAGGCCAACAGAATGTTACTATTTCCAATTTACATGAAGACAGCTCTAGCTCCAATGTGTGTGGCCCCAAGAGGCCAACAGAATGTTACTATTTCAAATTTACAAGAAGACAGCTCCAGCTCCAATGTGTGTACCCAGGGCCACACAACACTTAAGACATACAGCAAGGATTCAAATGGATGTTTTTCTAACTCCAAGTCGAGGAATACAGTCCACTTCCTCTCATTAATCATCAGCAGCATTTATCACGCGCGCTTTCTATAACTGAATGTTCAACTTTTTTTTCTTTGAAAGGTTTTTGCTATAGGGCGCATGCACTGGCCAGAATGACAGAAAGAGACAGAGAGACAGAAAGCAAGAAATCACCCCCCAGGGGAGATGGCCATGCCACAATCCTGTCTCCTCCATTCTCCTCTGGGGATCTTGGGCATGCACATACACGCGCCCAGCTTGAGTTTAAGCCACTGGATCTGGGACTTGAACCGCAGTCGACTACATGGGAGTCCAGTGACATAGCCATTATGCTAACCGCTGGTCCCTGAATGTTCATCTTAAGAGCAAAGATATTGTATCTCTTGTTTTCATCCAGAAGCCACAAAGGAAGGCAGAACTCACCGGCGTCCATGTGATCAGAGACTAGTCGTAGGATGTCCCCAGGCTCCCCATCAATGTTAAAGCAGACAGTGAGCTTGCTCCAGGGGAAATCCACAACAAAATGGGGGTCACCATCCACTGCCGGAACAGGGAAGAAAAAGAGAGATTTTTTGGTGCCTTCCAGATGTAAACACTACTTCCTTTTCTCTATGCAGGATTTATTTAATCTTGACCACAATACTGTAAGGAAGGTATCCTCAATTTTTTTTAAGAATTACTTTATTTAATTTTACTTATTTATTATTATTCTTCAATTTGACTAGAGAGAGAGGAGAGTGAGAAAGCAAGCTGCCTGGTCCAGGACTCGAACCATGGTCGGCCATGTGAAAGTTCAGCTCCTTAACCACCGTGCCACCCGCCAACCCCAGTATTCTCGACTTCTAAATGACAAGGATGTATGAGAGGGGACATGAGTCACCCATTATTCAGCACATAATCAAATAAATATTTGACTTCATATCTAACTTCAGATATAATGTTCATTTCACATACCTCAGCTACGTATAGACAACTAAACTATGAGAGGTTGAGAGCTAGGAAAAGGGAAAAAAGAGATATTACCATGCACCTCTAACTACAATCAAGTCCATGTTCTTGAATTTTGTAGGTGATTTCCCCATTATCTTTGACTTCCTCCTTTATCTGCCCAGAAGGAAGGGAGGTCCCCCCTTTCCTATGACAAGAGTTCTATGGTACTTCTCTCTCTCAGAAGCCATAGGCTGCCTCAGAAACAGTCACAGTGCCGGCTGTGTGGTTGCAAGCACTAAGAGCCACACTCAATTTCAGGGCAGTGAGGAGTGAAGCATGCAGAAGCAGGAGAAGGTGAATTAGCATAGTCAGTGGTGGCAAAGGGAACCCTTCCTTTGGGTCACCCATCTCCATTAAAGATAAACAGCCTTGCCTCTTAACACAGGCAAAAGATTTCCTGAACTCCTTTCATCAGTTTTCTTTTCATACTAATTGGAAATTGAGTTTCTCTCTTAATTATACACCAAACACAAGATGTTTCTGAATCTCTCTCTGCTTTTTTGTTTTGTAAAACAGAGTCTTTTGCTTTGTAATACAGGGTCTTATGATCTTCCTACCTCAGTGTCTCACCTGGGACTACAAGTGCATACCACTATGCCCAGCTCTTTTTCAGAGTCTCACTCTGTTGGCCAGGCCTGCCTTGAGCTCATGGTCTTCCTGACTCAGCCTTCCGAGTCACTGGTATCACAGGTGCATGCAATGCTCCCAGCTTTCTGGTTAGACCAGGAATTGAACCTGCGTCCCCCATGTGGTCCCAACCTGTGGAGCACAGCATCTTAGCAGCATGCACCGTTGCAGTTGGGGCTCTCTGCTCTCTCTGTGTGTAAAAGCATGCATCTGTTTCTGTGTATGAGCCTGAAGTCCAGTCTTATCAAACTGCAAGCAAATTAATGTCCTTATAACTGCTGAAGAACACTTTCCGCCCCACAGTTTTACTCAGAACAGCCTGACTGTTGTCACTGTGAAGTGCCTCAAGCACCCTATGAATGGCGGCATATGAAAAAAACACAAGGTGTTGTCCTTTGCTAATAGAAAAAAAAAAAATTGCTATACCCAGAGGACAAAAGAGTTCTTGTCCATCTTTTTGGCACTCCTTAGGCATGAATATAGCTTCCCTGACAGTCCTCTGAGAATGTCTTTGTGTGCATACCACATCATTTCTCCTAAATCGTCCAAATCTCTTTACCAAGAAAGATGTTGCTTGCTCCAAAAACAGAGGGAAGGAGTCCAAACGTTATTACTCCAGGCAGCACCCTAGAAGGCGGCTTCCCTGCATTCCATAAAGCATATGTGTGTTCAAGAGAATTACATCCTGTCCACTGCAGACTGTGTGGTTTCCATCCCATAGTTAATCTCCAGGACGTCCCTGGCTTTATGAACTTGCATATATTGCACATCAATAGAAAAGCAATAATAAAGACCTACAAAGGAAGATGTGGACACTCGGGAATAAAACCCAATCCTTAAGTTGTTCTTCCATCTGGATTTCTATTATAATCTCAGGACATTGGCAAAAGGAAAATTTATGCCTTTTTGTTTTTTTGTCTATTCTTCCCTTCTAAAGCCAAGGATTAAAAAACAAAAACAAAAGGCCTGCCTGTCACACCAAACATTTTTATAATTGTAACGCAGAGGCCAGAAGCATGCATTCTTTGAATCTCTAAAACGAATGGCGTTTAAACTCAATGATGATCAAAATGTGCTTCTGCTATCCATCTATTTGTCGATCAGAGCTCATGCCAGACTTCCTCGGGACTGAATTATCTTCACAGCATTTATGTAATGGCTTAATGATGGTCCTGGTTCTTCTGTTTGCCTCGTGTTGCTGGCTTGGGCTGAGTCCATGTGGGTCCTGATGCCCTGTTCTATGAGCTGGCTTCAGGCGACTCCTAGATGAACACTTTCCCAACTCTCAGTTCACACCCAACCTCCTCCTTTTTTTTTTTTTTTTTTTTTTTTGCTATAAGGCACGTCGTTCATGAGAGAAAGTGAAAAGCACCCCCTCCCCTAAGGGCGGATGGCTACAATCCCTCTCCTCCATTCTCCTTGCGAGATTTTAGGCACGCATGTGCACATGCCTTGTGTGTTTTTTTCAGATCTATTGGTCTGAGACTCGAAGTTGGCCATGTGGGATCCAATGCCTTCACCACCACACCACCTGCTGGCCCATATCCTTTTCTTTACCTGATGTTTTAGAGATTTTAATTCTTGGGTCATACAGCTTCTTGAGAGTAGATCCTAAAACAGAGAGGATAACACCACTGTTACTCATTAAAGAAGATGAAGTGAAAGATATAGAGAAAAGAGGTTTGAGATGAGTAAAATACAGCTTTCAGTTACATTAGTTGCAACTTAAAGAATTGTTAAAAACCTCTTTATATTCCAAAAAAAGCACCCTCTTTATAATACCTGTCTTGAAGAGGGAAGTTGGCCTCAAAACACCCATGCAGGGTGAAAAATGTGGAGGATTATTTTACTCTCCTATAAATTAGATAATATCCTTTTTTCCTGTGATTTCTGTGTATGCTAGAGAGAAATATTCTATCACAATTAAGATATAGTTACAGGAGAGGGATAAATAGGGTTATTACCTAATGCATATTGAGTTTCAGATTTGCAAGGGGATGAAAATATTTTAGAGATCTTTTTTTTCTTCTTCTTTTTTTTTTTTTTTTTTTGAAGAGGTTTTTGCTATAGGGTACGTGCGCTCGCCAGACAGACAGAGAGAGACAGAAAGCGAGAAATCACCCTCCAGCGGGGATGGCCACGCCACAATCCCTTCTCCTCCATTCTCCTCTCGGGATCTTGGGCACGCACGCACACGTGCCCGGCGTGAGTTTTAAGCCACCGGGTCTGGGACTCGAACCGCGGTCAACTACATGGGAGTCCAGCGACATAGCCATTACACTAACTGCTGGTCCCATAGAGATCTTTTTAACAACAATGTGACTATTCTTTTTTTAAAAGAATTATTTATTTATTTATTTCCATTTGTTATTGTTATTTTTTTTCTTTATTTGACGAGAGAGAGATAGAGAGAAAGAGAGCAAGAAAGGAAAAGTGAGAAAGCAAGCCACCAGGTCCGGGACTTGAGCCATGGTTGGCCATGTGGGAATCCAGCACCCTTATCTACCATACCACCTGCTGGCCCCAACAGTGTGACTATTCTTAACACAACTGAACTGAACACACAAAAGTGGTTAAGATGGAAAATTTTATGTTACATAATTTTACTATAATAAAAACAAAAAAGAGTATATATTCCAGTATCTATAACTATGTATGTAAGCATAATTAATAACATAGCAGGCTTTGTGCCTTAAATATTCAATTAAAGAAAAAAAACTAAAAGTAGATTAATATTTGCAAATCAATATCCTACTCCAAATTGTGTGTATTAGCAAAATTACACTCCTCTTCACTGTTTTTGTTTTTTTTTTCCCTCATAGATATTAGAGATGGAAATATCTAAATTATTTTACGCACCCTCTTCTCAGTTCTGGTCCTTGGCCAGCATGACATGAGTAGAATGCAGATAGACCAGGAAGGAGGAGGGCGTACTTTGATAGAATAATGGCTTCGAGTGGCCCCTGCCACAGACAGTGCAAGAAATTAAAAATTTTTAATTATCTCAGCTTTAAGTAAGGAAGATTGTCTTAGGTACTCACTGATGCTCAGAAAAATTTTATTTACAAAAACTCCTTTAATCAATCTGTTGATTATTTCCTCATCTGTGTTCCTGGCCCTCTAAGTTTTATGTTGTTTGGGTCTGATGTCTCCTGAAGCCACTGAGTTTTGAGTTGTTGACATATAATAAAAATCTTACTGGGAACCAGCAGTTAGCGTAATGGCTACGTCGCTGGACTCCCATGTAGTCAACCGCGGTTCGCGTCCTGGACCCGGTAGCTTAAAACTCACGTCAGGCGCGTGTGCGTGCGTGCCCAAGATCCTGAGAGGAGAATGGAGGAGAAGGGATTGCGGCGTGACCATCCCCCCTGGGGGGTGATTTCTCGTTTTCTGTCTCTATGTCTCTCTCTGTCTGCCTGGCGAGCGCACACGCCCTATAGCGAAAATCTCTCCCCCCCAAAAAAAAATCTTACTCAAAAAGTCATTTTTCATGGATATGGCATGGGTCTTGTAAGTACAAAGTAATAGCATCCTGCAGCCTGCTTTTGATTACAAGAAAAATTTCACCGATTTTTGTCTTGTCTGACTGTGCCAAGACAAACTCCTCCCTCTCTTTTGCTTTCTTTCTTTTTTCTTTTCTTTCTTTCTTTCTTTTTCTTTCTTTCTCTTTCTCTCTCTCCCTCTCTCTCTCTCTTTCTCTCTCTCTCTTTTTTATCCAGAGATTTTTTTCTATAGAGTGCATGTGCTCCTCGGAGAGACAAAAAACAAAAACTCACCAACCCCGCCCTCCTCTAGGGGTTGGGGGAAATGGCCATGCAGCAATTCCTTCTCCATTTTCCTCCCGGGATTTGTAATACATAGGCACCCAAACCAGGCATGAGTTTCAAGTTGCCAGGTCTGGGACTCAAACTGCCTTTGGCCATCTGAGAGTCTAGTGCCTTAACCACTATGCCACCTGCTTGCCCCTTCACTCTTTCTAGAACAGCAACAGATCCTTTATAATCTTTCTATTAGGGTCTGAATTTTTCAATGAATGTCTAGGACTACATGGAAGGGTTCAGAGAGTTAAGGGAACTACCATTGGTAGAACATTCATTATATACCACAAAAATTCCATATTTAATCCTCACAAAAGCGCTTCAGGGAAATGTTATTGTCCCTACTTTACAGGTGAGAGAATGGAAGCATGGAGAGGTTCACACACCTGGCCCAGGCCTCACAGCTGGGTCAGTAGATCCTAACTTGATGCACTCTCTCTGTCACTCACAGGTGCTTCTTGGTGCTTTGACCATGAACAATAAATAGACAGCATTTGTGGGGTGCCTAGCAGACCTGGTTAACCTCAGCTCCTTCTCTTGGGAGATGGAAAACTGGCAGGAGCCTAATAAAAATGTTATGTGTATAAAACAAGCTATTTCCTACAAATACTACCAAAAATACAATCCTCTGCTTTGGTTTATTGCTTTTCCTTTCTCCCATTCTTGTCCCTACTGATCCCCCATCAAAATAGCACCAAGATGAATTGTGACTGCCTCTGAGCAGATTCTGAGTGATAGACAGGTAAAGAGCAAACTCTCCAAAACCCTTATTTTGGATCTTCATAGATGTTCTTGGCAGAATAAAATCAAGCATACACATAAAATAACACACCTCCGAAGTATGTGAAATATAGAAAGGCACTTAAAAATGAACACGCGCTCATTCGTTTGCTCATCTTGGTACTTTCTATAATGCCTGGCGTGTAGGAGACACTCAACTTCCTGATGATTTATCGATGGGTTGACTGACATCACTGGGCAATATTTCTGAGCCAAACACCACCTCTTCTCATTTTTCTAGAGAGCCACAGGGTTGTTTATATATAAAAAAATATATATGATAAAATAAAACAGACTCCTGTTGAAGTAATCTTGGCCTTGCAAGGAGTTATATAGAATTGGCATGAAGGCATCACGTGTAGCCATTCCTGGAGTTCTGTTACCTGGCTGCATGCTGGTTCCTCCTCGCAAACTCTGCATCACTGTTGCAGGTCCTGTGGCTGCCGACATGCCATAAGCATCCTCTGGTTTGTCTGTGTGAAGGGCCGGCTTCCTCAGCTTCATGGAAGTGAAGGGGGTGAGGAAATGATAGCTCACTGACAAGGCCTGGGCCTTCTGCCTCAGTTGCTCCTTCTCCTGCTCATTGTCACTCTGCAGCCAGGAGCTCATCAGCTCCTTCATGGTGAGGTGGCTCCAGAGACGCTCTATGTGGTTGGGGTCCTCCTCACTATCATCCCCTGCCTTCAGGGGCTCCACAGGCACATCCGTCTTCAGTACGACAAATTTCTTACTATTGCTGGCAGTGACCTCCACGTGCAATTGATCCAACTGCTTGTCCACCAACTTCCCAGCAATGATAATTTCTGAGCCATTGAAGTAGTTGGGGAACAGGGTTTTGGTGACATGCTCCACTAAGCTGGGAGGATAATCGATGCGGATGTCAGAAAGGAGGGGCGTTCTGATCTCATCATAGAATCTGCAGCAAAAGAACAGAGAGAGTATGAGGGTATATTTGCCTTAACCACTACACCACTTCCTTGTCCCTTCTTTCCAAAACAGCCACAGATCCTTTATAACCTTTCTATTAGGGTCTGAACTTTTCAATAGATGTCTAAAACTACATGGAGAGAGTCTTGGAGTGAGGGGAACTACCACTGGTAGAACATTCACTGTATGCCACAAAATATCCATATTTAATCCTCACAACAGCTCTTCAGGAAAATGTTATTATCCCCACTTTATAGGCGAGAGAATGGAAGCCTACCCCAGCTGTAGGCTGGATGATCCTAAAGGAAATACTCTCAGTGTGGTGGATCTGATGCTAGAAGTGATCAAGTTCAACATTCTACTCAGCACAGTATTCGTGATAGGAGGTTACTCAGCTTAAACACTATTGGTGAAAGGACATTCACTATCTCCTAAAGCTTCCAAATCTCTTTTCAACAGCTCTGATGATGAGGCTTTTCTCATAGTTAATGATACATGGCTGTTAAGTAAGAAGACTTCAGACCTTCCAAAGGTATGGAGAGCATAGGCTGTGGAGCGTGACTTCCGTCTCAGCCTCTTCATTACTGTGTGTCTTAAGACATAAAACTTAAACTCTCTAGACTTCAGTTCTTTCATCTATAAAAGTACAATGTTAACAGTACTACTTTTGTAGACTACTACCCATTCCCCCCAAGTCAATTCTCTTCTTCTTTCATGATAATTGAGTTCTAACTGGGCACATGTCCATCCAGCTACAAATTAAATATCCTGACTTCTATTGTGGCTAAATAGGGTCATGTGACCAAGTACTCACCAATGAAATATGAGTAGATGTTTTATGTGCAACGCTCATGGCACTTGTTTAAACAAAATGGCTTGCTCTAGCTTTTTTTCTTTTCTTTCCTCCTTTTGGGACTGAAATAACGAAAGTGATAGTGACCTAATTTCAATCCTGCTTAAGGTACTTCACCTAAGGGAGGCAGAGCAATAACATGAAGGAACTTGAATCTCTGAATGACTTCATGGAGCAGAATCTAGCCTGTCCAGACAACTATAGGAGAGAAATAAACAACTATCCTATTTAGTCTGTATTTTGTCACCTCTGTAGGGCAGCTTAGTCTTTAATATACTTTCTTTTTAGGATATTTGTGAAGATCACATGGAACAATCCATGTAGAAATGCATGGCATATTGTAAGCTCTCAGTAAATGCCAGGCATTGATAACATTTTCAGTAGTATGATAATCCAGTTGATGCATTTCAACATAATTGTGCTCATGAAATCTTGTTGTACCCCTATTCAGTTATACAGTGCATTAGGTTCTCCCTCTTTGGATCTAGTTTTAAATGATTTTTAAAATATGGGAAGCAAATCTGTATTTTAATTTTTATCTTTCATAAAAATGCTGGAGAGAAATGGTAGCTAGTCCTATACCATAGACCTGTTTTTTCCTACACATTTTAGAGCCCTACAATTACATTTATCATTAGTGAGTATTCTGCTTAACACCTGTAAATATAACTAAACCTATAACTACTGAACACCAGTAAATCAACCTAAATCTCACTTTTTCCTTTTAATCACATGTGCTACTACAACACAAATGATGCTGAGTTCGGAGCTGACATTAGTGAGTATTCTGCTTAACACCTGTAAATATAACTAAACCTATAACTACTGAACACCAGTAAATCAACCTAAATCTCACTTTTTCCTTTTAATCACATGTGCTACAACACAAATGATGCTGAGGTGGGAGCTGACACTTCATCGACTCAACAATGAAATCATATATTACATTTGGCGACAGCACATCTGAGGGATGGTACTTCTGTGTTAGGGGATCTATGCTCTAGCTTCTTCACTTCAAACTAACAATCTGATTATTTCCCAGTTTTACTTAGCCATTTTAGTCCAAAATAAAGATACGATAATTTAACTAGTACTCAAAATGCAGATAATACTCCTTCTATCTACATCACAAGGTAGAACAAGAGTAAATGTCCTAGAAAGTGCTTTGGAGTGTTAATAAGGTGATTAAAACCAAAACAACTCATAGATCGCCTAATACATGATGGTCATTGTGTGCTTTACATGTATATTTTACATAGGTTTTCTCATTAAATTTTGGCAACTGACCATAGTCCTCGTTGTATAGATGAGGAAACTGAAGCACAGATCATACTAAAATCTTACTTAAAATCATAGCAATACTGAATTTGAGCCAGCACTGCCTGGTTTCAAAACCCATCATAATATTTCCCAGTGTAAATGTGTTATGATCATTCCCAGCAGATGCAGGCTGAAGTGTGGCAAAACACCATCATTTCTGGGTTTCTCACTAAATGATATGAAGACTCCAAGGGAAGTTCTCTCTCTCTCTCTCTCTCTCTCTCTCTCTCCCTCTCTCCAAGAAATAAATGGCTCTCTCTCTCTCCCTCTCTCTCTCCCAGAAATAAATGAATACGTTAAAAAGAAAATTAGACCACGGTTTGCAATCCGGTGACTTTAAACTCATGCCAGGCATGTGCATGCATGCCCATGATCCAAAGAGGAGAGTGAAGGAGAAGGAATTGTGGCATGACCATCCCCCTGGGGTGGGGGAGGGGTGTAATTTCTCACTTTCGATCTCTTTGATGAGTGCAAGCACCCTATAACAAAAATCTCTCAAAAAAATTTAGTCTCCCTGACCCTGACATTCCTCTCAAGTCCCTCAGCCTCTCATTATCCTAAAAAGACAGACAACAGACCCAATGAGCTGTGAGCCTGCATCCTCCTCCTCATGAACACGTCGTGTGAGACCACAGTTCTCCAGAGACAGTTTCTCCAGCAGTCTGAAGTCCACATCATTCCCAATGCCAATGGTGAAGATGCAGATTTGACCTCGGGCAGCCTCCTTGGTGTTGTTAAGAATTTTGAGGGTCTGAGTCTCCCCAACAGTTGGTTTCCCATCTGTCAGGAAGATGATGAGGGACACACTCCGGTCTTCAATGTCGTTGTGGGCCACATAGTTGTTGAGCAGCCTGATGGCCCTCTGAAGGGCCCCATTGATGTCTGTGCCTATAGGACACCAACACAGCACAGTTCAAGACTTCACATTCACCTTTAGACCCTGAATGCACATTCATTGCTACAGTTAGCTCCACCACTCAAGCACTAACAGGGGTGATATGTGTGAGACATGAAATTCCCTGCAGAGATGGGGTAAGCCAGGTACTATGACTTGCCTAGACATTTGACAATTGTTTGCTAAATGAATAGAAATGACATAAGATTATCCTACTGTGAAAAACCTTTTCCTGGAGGCATCTCATGATACCTTATCTTAGAAATCTTCACTACCTTAATACTCATAGTTTCTATACCCTTTTCCAAGAATAGCTTTGAAAAGAGCAGGAGGGTTTCAGGTGCAAGAATTTGGAAGGAGAGTCACAGTGAGCATAAAAGGACACAGAATGAGGAGGTGGGAGTGGAGGGTGACAACTAGAAACAATCTCAGATGGCTTCAAATGTTTCCCAGGGATATGATGCTGATTAAAGAACTAATTAGTTACTCTCATTGTCTCTGCTTTCCTTGTCTCCTGAGCTTTGACATATTGTGTTTATTAGATTCCCCGAAGGAGGAGACATTCAATTTTACACTTCCTAGGGCCAACCTGTGATGCAGTATAATGCAGCTGAACCCCCATAGGAAAAGTCCTATGTTTGCATCTCAAGACCTCCCTGAGCATGCTGGGTGCCCATGCACATACCCATGATCTAGATTGGCTGAGACCACAGGAGGATCTTGGTGTAAGGACTCCATTGAAAGTTCCTTCTCCCTCCCTCTCTCTCTTTCAAGAAATAAATGAATAAATTTTTTTTTTAAATTTAGACTTCCCAACCCTGACATTTCTCCTTTAAAGGTATTTGTCCTCAGCAACTCTGATTAAAGTTGCAGGCCATCATCTGAAGTAGGTGCCGAACAAAATTTGCTCGGATAAAGAGAAGGTGATTGGTTAGTTGAGGCTGAAACTGCCAGCTAAAATGAGGTTTCTGGATAAGCTGAAAATTCTGCTCAGCTAAACTAGTACTCTTCTGCTATCACCAAGTAAAACTGAGTTCTTACTGTTGTATGAATATCAAATTTTGTTTTGTTTTGTTTTTGGAGAGGTTTTCGCTATAGGGTATGTGCGCTCACCAGACAGACAGACAGAGACAGAGAGACAGAAAGCGAGAAATCACCCCCCAAGGGGGATGGCCATGCCGCAATCCCTTCTCCTCCATTCTCCTCTCGGGATCTTGGGCACGCACGCACATGCGCCCGGCATGAGTTTAAGCCGCCAGGTCTGGGACTTGAACCACGGTCGACTACGTGGGAGTCCAGCTACATAGCCATTACGCTAACTGCTGGTCCCTGAATATCTAGTTTTGGTTTTCTCACAGCTTGAAATAAAATTTACATACCAAAAAAATACTTATTTTAACATTAGTAGGTGTTTTTAATGAGCTGAGATACAATACACATACACACACACACACACACACACACATATATATATAATACTCATTCTAAGTGTTCAAGTCATTATTTTCAGTAAATGTATAGAGTTCGGTAATGGTCACCACCATCCATAGCTCTGATCAGAGTAGTTTTTATCTACCTGCAAAATGAACTAAGTTTGAAAGAACTGGATCATCTCTTGTATTGCTTTACATCTTCCAGAATTTCTGGCTAACCACTTAGATAAATCTATGTCTGTGATCAACACATTCATAATTCTTGCTCAAATTTGTATAGAGTTCAAGCAGAAAGGGAAGTTCCAGCTAAAACAGTATTTAACATTTCTTTGAAATGATTAATTTGCCTTTCTTAACGTCTAGTTCATTTCATGTAGCCTCTGGATGTGTGGGCATGCCCTAGTGGCAGGTATTTGTTTCCTCTTTAATTGAGTACTTAGTGCCAAATCTTTCACTCCACTGTAAAGCCAAGGACAGATGAAGGAAAGCTTTGACTCTTCAGGTAGAACAGACACCAAAGGCACCACAGGGTTTGGAATCAAACCAATGACAAGCTGAGGCGTCTCTCACTTATTCAAAAGAGTGAGATGCTCTCCCCATGGAGTCTCTAGATTTGCCCGAACTAATCCAGCAAGATCTCATGTGGGATCATGAAAGAACCAAGTGTACCACCAAGATGGACGACTCAACTGGATGAAAGTAAAGGTCATATCTAATGCTTATAGAGAACATCCTATGTGCCAGGACCATTTTAAACTCATTAAATATTTTAAATTCATTTCATCCTAATAACAAGCCCATCGTTATCCCCATTTTACAGATGAGGCACACAGAGGTTAAACGACAAGTATATGATAGAGCTGGATTCAAATACAAGCAATCTATGCTCCCAATCCTGATGTCACACTTCTTGGAAACAGCTTAATTTGCTGTTCACCTGCAGAGGTTGGGGCAATGAAGTGTTGAGAAAAAAAAATGAAGGAGTCAGTAGGGTTTCTAAGGTTTGGATTCCAAAAGAACATAACACATACCAGCTGTTTTCCAAGAACGTTAATCATTCTCCCCGCCCCACACACGTCATCATCCTAATGGTAAGCCGTGCCATTAAAATGCTCAGTTTAACAAACACGCACTGGGTATACACTGTATGTCAGGAACCATGCTAGGAACTAGGAGCTACATGAAAATGGAGAGGAGACTCTTCCCTCAAGGACATTACAACTTCTTGCCATAGATAATATCTATAAAGTTAGAGCTAACTTTTATTTGTCTCATCAACCAAGAGAATAGTTTCTGGAGTATCCTGTTTTAAAGGCTGGAAAGAAATCCCATTATAAATCAAAGTACTAACTAACCAAGATCAAGTTCCAAATGAAGTTCACTTAGGGAATAATGAATGTATGAATGATGAAAAATCCCAGAGGAAAGATGACTAAATTGAGTGTTTTAGATGTTTTCAGACAACCAAAGAAGAAGTACCCAAGACAGCAAGTCTAATCTCTGTGAAGGGCCTTAATGCAAGAGGTCAGAGGTCAAGTTCAATTCCACTAAACACTCCAATATTGAGGATCTATGAAGTTACTGTACCAGTGACACAGGGAACAGCAAAAGTAAGACCCCAATCCTGAATTGAAAGAACTAAGTTCAATTCTACTAAACACTCCAATATTGAGGATCTATGAAGTCACTGTACCAGTGACAGGAAACAGCAAAAGTAAGACCCCAATCCTGAATTGAAAGAACTTATATCCAGAACAGTTTGGATTCTCTAATCTTCTCAGAATTCTTCACCATCTTTTCTTGCCTTTCTTAACAATCTGCACACTCACCCAAGTGTAAGCTATACTCAAGACAAGTGCGTAATAACTTAGAACCCAACATCCTCCCCAGCACATTTTGCATCCTGGCCCCTCACAGACCACGGTGGCATATGTCATGTACTCTGGTGCAGCCTGGCAAAGAAGACTTTAGCAGGGCAGTGCTACTGCCACAGCTTAATGTGGTAACATTCATGCAACAGAACACCTAGATCATCCATTTGGCTTTCCTTCTCCACCCAAGATCAATTTACAAAAGCAGCTTCATTGTTTGGGATCTCCAAGATAAACCAGGAAAGCCTCCTGACCCCTATCAGGTATTTTCTTTCACAAGTTCATCAACTTATCCTGGGGACTGGGAGAGGAGAATTTACAGATTTGGTGTTTAGAGAAACATAAGCTTCTGGGAAAGCATTCACCTGTTGCCACTTTCCTGTAATCAGCTTCAGCTTTCAAATCCTGCCTCTTGGCAGAAAATTAGCTTATTGTCATTGTCAAAGTTTATGTCAAAAGGAAAATCATTTTTTACCTCCAGTGGGTGACATATGGTGAATGTAGACTTTGCCATCCCTGATATTGTCAGGAGTGACTGATATTAAGTGGTCCTTCCATACTTTGATCCGGTTGGAAAACCCAATGATACTGAAACGGTCCTGAGGTCGGAGGTCATGGAGAATAGTGAAGAGGGCATCCTTGGTCTAGGCAAACACAAACCCAAAACCAGTCAATACAATCACATTTGTCTACTTGTTCCCTGGATTAGACACTGCCCACCAGGAGCAACCTAAGTGTTCAAGTTCAGTGTTGATTATATAAAAAACACTTGGCTAAATTAAGGAATTCATCAACTAGCTGAAAAAATTGGCATAAATATGTTACCATTATACATAAGATACAAAGAAGTGTTCAATGTATGAAATGTCACGTGATACTACTAACCATGGCATATAGGTCCATAAATCTTCATAACTGACCGGGAATGTTCTTTCCTTTTTTTTTTTTTTAATTTGCCAGAGGTCAAGTGTACTTGAATGAATAAATATTTAATCAATTATAAAATTAAAGGTACAAATAATGAATACCATAAGAATTTACAAGATTATGAGATCACAGTGGATTGGAATTATCTGATTCTTAACAGACAAGGAGGAATTTGAGTATGAAGATTAAAGGATGGGATAGCTTGAAAGAATAGAGAGGACACTAAAAAGAAAGTAAGACAGTTTGAGCAAAACAACAGGTGATTCAGGTGTCAGGCAGCGTCAATTACATTTTAGTCAGACATGACTCGTAGAAAGAATTAACAACAACAACAACAACAACAAATATGATACTAAAACCAGAAAAACTCGGGACCAGCAGATGGCATAATGGTTACATCACTGGACTCCCACATGGCTGACGACAGTTTGAGTCCCGGACCCTGGAGGGTTGAAACTCATGCTAGGTGATTGTGCATATGTGCCCAAAATCCCGAGAGGAGTATAGAGGAGAAGGGATTGCAGCATGGCCATACCCCCTGGGGAATAAGTTCTTGTTTTGTCTCTCTGTCTCTGCACACACGAGTTATAGCAAAACAAACAAACAAACAAACAAACAAAAAACTCTTAAAACATAAAAATAAAAACGAAAACTCTAGAGCCTGGACAAGAGTATCTATGACAATCACCAGGGATTTCATGAAAAACACTGTCTTGGGGGCAGGAGGGAGGAAATCAAGAAGGAAAAACAAGCAAAATATTTCACAGATATAAAAATGAAAAAAATTATTTGATTATAATGTGTATGGGGATATCTATTTTAAAAATAGAATTATTTATTTTAATTTTTATTTATTATTATTATTCGATTTGACCAGAGAGAGACAGAAACAGAGAGGGGGAGAGTGAGAAAGCAAGCTGCCAGGTTCAGGACTCGAATTGTGGTTGGTCATGTAGGAGTTCAGTGCCTCACCCACCACACTACCTGCCAGCCCCAGTGTATGAGAATATCTTTGACTGGACTAACATGCACTGTATTCATGCTGGGAAAATTCATTTTGTATGCTGTAAATATGTACAGTGATTAAATGTAAGAAAAGAAGGGAAAAAATACTCTTTAAAAATAAAAAAAGAAGTCTTCCCTAAACAGCATAGTTGTTAGGCATTAAAACAGATTTCATAAACAAGGTCAGAGACTTGCATTACCTAATTGCCATGACAACAACAGCTGGAGTCTCTTTATGGTAGTTAATAGCACAGACTTCGCAGTAAGACTCTTTGACATCGGTTCCATCTCTAACTCTCTGTGGGCTCTGGGGCTCTGTGTAGTAAGTGCCATCACTTACTAGCCATCGTATCTCACTGCACCTAAGTAATCTCATCTGTAAAATTACGACAATTAACAGTATCTACCTCATCCAGTTGTCATGAGGACTCAGTCAGGTACTAGATGAAAAATACTCAGAACAGGGCCAGGCATACAATAAAATTTACACACGTGTTTGCTATGGTTTGCCAGCTGGTGGAGGCAGCAGAATTTAAGAGAAACCATATAGCCTGGAGTAGTGATTTCCAGAATGTCATGCATGCACTAAGGAACCATGAGAGGTTCCCTGAATGTTCATAAAAGTACATATTATGAAAAAATTATGCATGGATTTCAAAATGTCTTAAATCTACTTTATTTTAGCTTTTAAATGTGCTATAGGGCACACAGGCTTGTGGGAGAAACAGAGAGAAAGTGAAAAAGCATCAGGAGGATGGCCATGCCGCAATCCCTTTTCCTCTCCTGGGATCTGGGGCATGCATGCACATCCACCCTGCAAGTTTCTCAAGCTGCCGGGTCCAGGATTTGAATCACACAGTTGGCCATGTGGTATCCAGCTACCCTAACCACCATGCTCTCAGCAGGCCCCCAATTTCTGACAATTGGATTCCATTTTCCACGAACGTTTTGCAGTCTCCTCTGAAAATATTTCATAGCTCTTTTCCCCAGATTTCATGGCTCTTTGCCTTTAATTCATTCCCTAGATTCAAAGTATTACACCATCTACCTCTCTATGTGAAATAACCACTACTTTTTCTAAAAGAATCCAGATCCAAGACTTGAACTATGGTTGGCCATGTGGTAGTCCAATGTCTTTAACCACCACACCACCTGTTGGCCCCAATAATCACTACTTTTTAAAACCATTTCCCTTCTCAATTTTCCCTTTTCCTCACACCTCAGTCTATCTTTCAGTCTTGTTTCCAATTCCTCATTCTAATATTTCATCCAACTTTCGGATTTCACAGGAAACTCAAAATTAGAAAACTATCCCAGGTGAATCTATTTTTAAATCTGCACAGTAAATTATTTCCTGTGCAGTTTAATGTAAACCAACAATTTCTTTTCTTAAAAAAAAGTTATCAAGCATATTTATTTAATTTTATTTATTATGACTATTCTTTCATTTGCCATAGGGCATATGTGCTTGCCCCAGGGAGACAAACAGAGAGAGCAAGAGAGAAAGTAAGAAAGCAAGCTGCCAGGTCCAGGATTCAAACAGTGGTCAGCTGTGTGGGAGTCCATTGTACCAATCATCACGCCACTAGTTGGCCCCTAAACCAACAACTTCTAGCCTGAGCAAACATTCCCCTAGCATTCTCCCCATCAATCCTTACTGAATTAATGTTCCTCAGCTCCTCACCATTTTTCATTCCCACATTAGAAAAACAGTGGAGTCTAGTGAGATCATTAGAGGTGTGATGATGACGACATAATGGTATTAACAGCTAGCATTTCCTGAGGCTTTCTGTTTCCCAGGTGTGGTGCCAAGTACAAGTGCTTTTCCTATATTGGGGCGATTCACTCATTTAATCCTCACAACATACAAGAGGTGAAGTGATTATTAGTATTCCCATTTTAAAGATGAGGCAACTGGGGCAAAGAGGGGTTAAGCATCATGCCACATGGGAGCCTGGATTAAAAGACAGGGAGTCTTAGGGCCAGCAGGTGGTATAGTAGGGCATTGGACTCCCATATAGCCAACTGTGGTTCAAGTCCTGGACTTGGCAGCTTGCTTTCTCACTTTCCTTTTCTCTCTCTCTCTCTCTCTCTCTCTCTCTCTGTGTGTGTGTGTGTGTGTGTGTGTGTGTGTGTGTGTGGTGTGTGTCTTGTGAGTACACATGCCCAAGTTTTTAAAAAATGAGAAATAAAATTCAATAAATAATTGTATAAAAAAGAAAAACACAGAGTCTAACTGTACAGCCAACACTTGTGCCAACATGGAATCTATGAGACTGCTGGGCTGAGAATGCTTGGAGTTGTCATTCCTTATTGCATGCAACAAATTTGGGATCCCTTCCACATCCTTCTATGTTGAGTTTTGCTGATTCTCTTTCATTTCATTTCTGGAAGCAATTAATGGATCCATCTTTATAACACCCTTGCAGAAAGCATTGCATGAATTCTATATCCACCCAGGGATGAAAATAATGAAAGTATTTCATTAAATCCATCATCACACTCCACCCCTAAGTTGTTCCAGAAGAAAACTACAGTGGATGTGTTTATTTTCTTTCTGTCTCTCTCTCTCTTTTCTTCCTTCCTCCCTTTCTTTCTCATTCTCCCTCTCTCTCTTTCTCTTTCTTAATTTGCCAGAGGGCACATGCTCTCACTAGAGAGAATTGCAGAGGCTGGGTGTTGGGGGGAATGTAAGAAAGCACCCTTCATGAGAAATGGTCATGCCATAATCCATTTTTCTCCATTCCTCACTCCTTTGGGGATTTTGGGCATGCACACACACATACACACACCTAGAATGTTTCTCAAGCCACAGGGTCCAGGACTTGAACCACAAAACCAGCTGCATGAGATCACCATGCTGATCGGAAGTGCTTATTTTCATCTGCCAGGCCCTCTGTCCTCTCTCCATTCCTTACCGAGTGGACCCTTCCCCTTCCCAAGGCATTCAGGGAGGCCTCTCTGGCAGCATAGTGTTCCGTACTCTCCCTACCCTAGCACCCACCCCAGGAAATGTGACAAAGTAGCCTATGAAAGCAGAATTTATACCCATACTCTGTGTAAGACATTTTAATGTGCCTATGGTGTATTCAACCAAGATGGCTCCTCCCTCCTTCGGGACCCACCTGACATGTACCTACTTTGGTGAAGCCAAGCAATGGCTCCACTAGGAAGACAGGTGATGGCTCCATCCTCTGATCTTCCATCACTGTCACACATGCCCATTGTGCCACTCCTACACTGTGTTATCATTACTTCCTCATGCCCCTTCCCACCTCAGAACCTCCATGTCTACTCTTCTCTTTCC